GCGTTCTGTTCTAAGCCCTAGTTTTTGATCAATCCATTATTTTGCTAGATAATAAATTGTGAAAGTTGAGCTGTTACTTTTGACAGGCTGTGGTTAATGCTACCAACAAGTCGGGTGGGTTCTTGCTACAATTCTTCCTTCGCATTCAAACATTGCCAGCAATCGTACGTGTGCGATACATTCTATGCCCTAGTTGTTAATCGATTCTGTTATTTCACTTAATTATAAACCGGGAAAGTTAAGCTGTTATTTTTGACAGGTTGTGGTTTAGGCAACCTTTGACCGCCATGTCAGATCATGGCGTATTTCGGAGGGAACGCTGTCAGCGATACGTTCTAAGCTCTAGTTGTAGATCGACCCATTATTTCGCCATTATCAATCGTGAAAGTTGGTCCGTTGTTTTGACACCTTGCGGTTTAGAAAACCTTTGACCCGACGTCAGATCTGGGCACATGTTCTTCCACCAGTTAATCCTCTGCATATTTAAACAAGCTGCCATTTTCTACCTTTGAAAGGCTGCCCTCCTTTGTCAGTATACGTGTGTGTGTTTGAGTGTGTGTGTACGCTCGGCGAACGTCCGTCTAAACCTGGTTAGTGTAGGGTGCAAGGTACAAAATCTCCCACTACGAGTTACTGTTCAGTTTTGGGTTTGTCCCATGCCCTCTAGATCTGTAAAATTTGACTACTTTTGGGACTCTTTCCTTGTCTAGTTAACTGATTTTCCCAACTTCTTGAAAGCCCTACGCACTTGTTACTGTTAAAGTTTGAAATATTTCCTGATTCAAAGCAAAGCAAGGTGTAACTACAGTATATTTACTCCCTAAATGATCTGCGTGTACAAAGATATACATGTGGATTTTCCCCTCAGACTCTTGTTTTTATTTTGGTGTTCTAGTTCAGCAATGTACAACCAAGAAATTGAATTTGCCTGGCCTCATAGCATGTTTACTTCTTAAAGTCAACTAGTTGAAGATTTTACAGTTTTCAGCCTGTTTTTCCAAGTTTGAAGAGTTCCCAGTTTCACCTGTCCTAAAGTAAACCAAATCCTTCCCCCCTTTTCCTGGCCCCAGGTTAGGAAAAGTGCCCCCTCTCCTGGTCTTTCTCACTGTGAAGTGTCCAAAATGGCTGCCCTCAGAAACGCTCTGCTATTGGTCAGTTTGGAAATGCCTGCCATCTTGGTTTGATAAAAGGGGGCCACCCTCCGGTCGGTCTTGCTTTGTTCCTTCCCCGCAGCTCATTAAAGTGATGGCTTGTTTTCGCAAAGTGGTGCAAGAAATTCTCCCAACATTACTGCTTAGAACTCACCACAGAAACATGGTAGGCTGTCTTGTGTGTGTGTGTTTCCTACCCTCATTCAACAGTGCATACGTAAGATTGAGTTCATGTCATCGGAAAAGAATCTTTAAAAGAAAGCCTGGAGGGTTGGACTCCCTGTTAGGGTGACCTTCAGCGCAGAGGTCACACAAGACATCTCCTGTAAACTAAGAAATAAATCAGGGCTGTCTGTTTACTCCTTCGCCTGGCTGGCTGGTCTTTTGGTCTTTCTCACTGATAGCAGCCATTAGGACAGTTTGCTAGGACAACAGTGCTAGTGGGCAGGGCCTCATTCAGACCACAGCCACTTACAAACAAATAGTAGGGACTGGGGAACAGGCTGGGTATCTGTGTCATAGGGCCAAAGCAACAGGATTTCTTGTTCCTCAGATATCTTGAATTGGTAAAAATTGAAACCACAGCCACTTTACAAACAAATAGTAGGGACCAGGGAACAGGCTGGGGATCTGTGTCATAGGGCCAAAGCAACTGGATTTCTTGTTCCTCGGATTTCTTGAATTGGTAAAAATTGAAACCACAGCCACTTACAAACAAATAGTAGGGACCAGGGAACAGGCTGGGGATCTGTGTCATAGGGCCAAATCAACAGGATTTCTTGTTCCTTGGATTTCTTGGCTTGATAAAAATTGAAAACAGAACAGCAAGTGTGTATGTGGTGGGTTCCAAACCAGCAACATTTTCTGTTGAAATGTCATGGTTTTAGAAGATTCTGAGAAAGGCAAAACCTGTAATTTAAGTGTATAGAAAACAGGGTTTTGATAGTAGCCAGCCATTTGTATTCAAAGTAGTATTTTACAATCATATTCAGATAGTTTGTTGTATAACTTTAAGCATTTTAGCACCTTTTTTCTGCATACTCTATAGGAAAGTCTATGCTATTACTATTATGGTAGCTTTCTATAGTATTTAGCCTACAGTATATGGTGGCTCTTAAGGTTTTATGCATTTGCTCAAGTCAAGTCAATTTGTGAATGGCCTTGGCCACCACTTGTTGTAAGCTGAATCCATTTGTTTTAGTTCCAACTCCACTATCTGAATCTCCCGACTCCTTCCCAGAATGCACTGTCATCTTTTCCCCTTTGCAAAAACTTCCCTGACCCTCCCATGACACCATGTGTCGGGCGCTCTGATTGGTTGGCTCGGGGTGATGGGGCAAGGTGCTGTCCAATGTAATTTGGTCTTCCAACATGCACCTGTCAGGTCGGATGTAGTTACTGATTTGTATCTGTCCTTGATGCTTGTTCCCAGAGTCGTGTGGGATTGATACTTGTTCCCAGAGTTGTGTGGGACTGTTCAGCCTTTTGTTAGCAGGGTACAATGTCTTTAGCCTCCACCAGGCCTTTCTAAGGGGTTGTGGATAGTAAAATTTGCTAAAATTAGGGTGAGAAACTGGCCAGGAGAGTAAGCCCATGGTAATATTTTAAATGGAAACTTATGTAGGCTATTTACTCTCCTATTCCTCAAAGTTTTATCATCATGCAAGTTTTTACTAAATGTAAAACTGTATTGTATAAGTTGGATCACTAGAGATCGCTTAAGTCTAAAAGAGAAAGAAAAAAAGGTAATCCCTACCCTAATTTTTTCAGGACTGAAACAGGAAACACAATTTTTTTCTTAGGCCCTACAATGCCTTATGTAGAGCTGGTACATGTATTTCGGTTGAACCTGACTTAAATTGTAATGTATAAACTGGTTGTATTATAGGAGAGGTCTGGTTGCCTTTGTTTCAGACTCTCCTAGTTATATACATAGTCAGATAAACCTGGTCATTTCTCTGGCCACAGATTGTCATCTCTGTGTTTACGCTCCCCTCAAATGAGAGCGATAAACGTCACATCTGATTGGACGTCTTCTTTGTCACTCCCGTAGCGCGGGGTGTTCAGTTTCGCCACGATAACTTCGTTACATCAACATCTGTAAAAATCACACTCCCAAATTAATCTGATTTTGTGGGCACTTCCTTCCTACTACTACCGGATTAATTTACACAAATTGATATTTCGAAGACGCATTGGCAGGGCCTAAGAGTGGTTTATCCTCGAAAATCCTACCTAATACGGATTCATGTTTACTTAAGTGGAAATTTAAGTCACTTTGGTTCTAAATAGCAAACGGAGGCTGCCTTAAACCGATCACAATAAGATTACGCACAGTAACACGATTTAGAAAGCACACATTTTGAGTGCTGTACAAGTATTAGAAAGCATTTAGATCTCCTCGAAGCTTAGCGGAATGTTTTATTGTCTCAAGGAAATAATCTTACACCTAAGAGGATCGGAATTAAGAATAAGAATGACATTAGAACTTACAAAAAGCTTTGGTAGTGTTGCACAGGAATAGGAAAGCACTTACATCTCTTCTAGGCATTAAAGAAACCTTTTATTGTCTCAATATCTTGATCTTAGAGCCAAGGACATCACAGGTAAAACTACTAATGTTATAACTTTAAAAAAAGGGTTCAAAGTTCTGAAGGGTTCAGAGTATCCGAAAGCATTTGTAGCATCATCAAGCATTGGTTGATGTACAGTGTAATTCACTGTTTCTTAGTATCATAATCTGAATCTCCCATGCTACTAACTGGAAACAGTCCACTGTTCACAGTACTTGTTGAAAAGAGCTAGGGGAATTTTCTATACATGGTGTCTGTCTGGTCATGACCAGTGGAAGAGTAGCTTAACTGTTCATTTGTGCTTAACACTTTCTAAAAACACCTATGATGTACGAAGGTACAGAATGTTCAACTTAAAAGTTTTCCAGGGCTGTGCTTTTCCTCAGCTGACACTTCTGTAAACTGTCGCTCTTTTAAAAAGAAAAATGTGCCGTTTTTGTCAGACAAAAATTTCCATTGTGGTACCCCTGTGATTGATATAGTAATAGGCCTGGTGTGGGAATGTAATGTGGGCAGAGAGAGGAAACAGTTGTCTAGAGAGTTGGCAGTTCTTCCCGGGTGTGTGTTTATAGGGAGGGCTTCTGGTTTGTGTGAGGACAGTTGAGTTTGCGTGGGGACACAGTTCCTGTTGGATGCAGTGCCAAGTTTGTTACCTCCATGAAAAATGGAGGTATTGTTTTTTTAATTTTGGTGTGTCTGTGTGTGTGAGTGTGTGTGGTTGTGTGTGTGTGTGTCTGTGTGTGTGTGTGTCTGTGTGTGTGTGTTTGTTTCTGCACATTTGTATTCAGAATGCCTTTATGGATTGTGATGATATAAGAAAAATGCCCCCTAGTGTGCTGAAACAGAAAAGCAACATACATTTTGTATAACTTGTAAGATGTGTCCCTTACTTGTTGTTGTGTAAGGTAACTTGTAAGACATGAGACTTACCTTGTCTTCCTTTCTTGTGTTTTGTACAGACCTTGTGAAAGATTGTTTAAGACATGAGACTTATGTTTAGAGTTAAAACCTTTGATCCAACACAAAAAGTTTTGACCAGTCACTCTGGTCTTCCTCAGTAGACTGACCCAGTGAAGCTTGTCACATGGCTTCTTTAAAGTGTGAAGTCAACACTGGGTCAAAGGTATCTGGTAGACATTTAACTACCAACACAGATAAACTTTCGTGATAATGTGAGACTTACATTGTTTTCCTTTCTTGTGTTTTGTACAGACTTTGTAAAAGATTGTTTAAGACATGAGACTTACCTTATCTTCCGTTCTTGTATTTCCTGCAGACCTCAGCGACTTGCCAGGATCGGGCAGGAAGCGGTCCCACTGGTGTTCCATCGCCTACTGGGAACACAGGACTCGAGTTGGCCGGCTCTTTGCCGTTTACGACGCCAGCGTCAATATCTTCCACGAACTACCTCACGGCGACGGCTTCTGTCTCGGACTGCTCACCAGCGGCGAATCCCACGAACGAGAAAACGTGGTCAGAACTCGAAAAAAGATCGGCTACGGGTTGACGCTGTCGAAGGAACCGGACGGCGTCTGGGCGTACAACCGGAGCGGCCACGCCATCTTCGTGAACTCGCCCACGCTGGACGTTCCCAACTCCAGGACTTTGATCGTGCGCAAGATTCCGCCCGGATTCAGCATCAAGATTTTCGACTACGAGAGGTCGGAAATGTTGCAAAGAACTTCGAACTCTGACCTCCTGGACGGGCCGTACGACCCCAACTCGGTTCGGATCAGCTTCGCTAAGGGCTGGGGCCCTTCTTACTCCAGACAGTTCATCACTTCATGTCCATGCTGGGTAGAAGTCCTACTCAACATCAATCGATGATAATTGTATAGCCCTCTAGATCTAATATAATATTTTATATACTATATATTATATAAAAAGTGTAAAGAAAAGACGGAAGCCCTTTTGTATATGTAATTATTTATGTATGGTGCAATGTTTACATAAAGAGAAGAGAGAGAAACGCACTTTGCTTACCTGATGCCTGGAGAAGAGAACCGGCCCGTACAGTACTAGGAAGGAGAGAGAGAAAAAAAGGTTAGTTTTTATGCCGAGAGTTGTACAGATCTGTTGGTACAAGCCTGGTCAACATGGCCAGCAACAGTCACAACCATCCAAACAATAAAGTCATGGTTTGTGAGAACGATATCTGACCGTCTCATTGTCTTAATGTGTAGCTGTATCTAGTCTCCACCAGACTCCTTTTGCAGGTTGAATGAATAGTAGAAATCAACTGTAGCTTTCCTGGCCTATTATATCCCCTTTTCAGGTCAATTTCTACTATTTATTCAGCCTCCAAAAGGAGTCTGGTGGAGACTATATATGAATAACAGAGGTTAAAATTGACATAATCGACCAATACCAAACAAAAATGTGAATAATGATAGAGATACAGGAATACAGAACAAAGACTCAATTTCTGACAGTGGATTCTCTCCAACTGTTGTCAGAAGAAAACAAGTTTCAAGTTTACTATCATAAAAGTTCATCTGTGTTGGTAGTTACATGTTAACTTTTGATCCAACACAAAAAGTTCTCTCACCTAGAGCTTTCAACTAGTCACTCTGGTCTTCCTCAGTAGACTGACCCAGTGATGCTTGCCACCTGGCTTCTTTGAAGTGTGACGTCAATACTGGGTCAAAGGTATCTGGTACAAGAATATATCTCACTACTCAGAAAACAGAAGCAGTATTCTAGCCTCTACCAGGCTTCAGAGGGGGCCAACTTGTAACTCAGAGCAGCAAACTGTTCTCTTGTAGCAGACTTAACTCCCCTGGCACGTTATCGGTCTATTTGGCCATTTTCTATTCTTCCCACCAGCCTATGAAGCCTGGTAGAGGCTAGCAATATTCCCCCTCTCCAATCCCTACAAAGGTGTAAATGAAAGTAAAAGATAAGAATACAACCAAGAAATTGCGAGCAAACAGTAAGTTATCTTGTTGACAAGCTAACAAACGCCATCCCTCCCGATAAACTATTCGCTGTCCCTGGAAAATCTACCTTGAACTCACTCGCCATCCCTTCCGAACAACAACGTACCGTCCCTACCTTGAACTTGTCAGGTATAATTGACAAGTGATGGCCAAATCTGCGTCTTGCACTAACCTCAAAGCTGGCTTGCTCCACGCAACTATGCTAAAAGGCACAACAGGATTACTATCATGCCTTCCATACGTCAACAGGGATTTACGGTCCCCCCCCCTTCACGCCAAATGTCAAAGGTCACGTACGTGTTAGTCTGGTAGTCCTGATTACCCAAATGTGCTCGCATACTAGCACGGTTACGTCAGGTTTTTTTTAAACTTTGATTTTATTTGAGTTAGAGCTACCAGAAAGTTTTTACAAATTACAATACACTGTTCCTTTTACTTAGATTCTGTACTATTTTTGACAAGGAAATGAGTAAAAGTTTTCATCTGATAATAACAAGACCGGGTTTCTTTTTTGCACTGGAATTTTTTTACGCAAACCCACCAAAAAACAAATTCCACTGCAAAAAGAAACCCCGATAAAAAGGCTAAGACACGCCAAAAATAAGCCAAAATCCAAACCTCTGCTTGAAGAGTTCTTGGACCTCGTAATTGTAAGAAACGCTGAAAGGTGTCAAGGCACAAATCCCGCTAAAAAAACTGCACTTTTGAAAAATTAGAGGACCGAGTAGGGGGGGTTATGTTTGTTTAAACTTGACATTCCTGTGGCTTGTACAGGATGTGTCCACGCGCCCGGGAGAACAGACGAACAATTCACGTCGGAATGTTCATGGCTGAATAGACAGAAAAGTCCCTCAGACTAGTCCATAATATACTACCTCATCATCATGTCGGGCGATTTGCCACATACTACTAGTACCCATCTACATAAGATATGTCTATTTCGCCAATGCATATGAGTAGGATGAAATGTTTACAATCAGGATGTTGGCATGAAAGTTCATCTGAGTTGCTAAAAGTCATGTGTCCACAGCACTTGGCTCATAAAGCTGATGAAGACTGAGCAATTCAGTCGAAAATTTCTGGAAGAGTTTAATAAATTCATTTTGAGTTGGAGAACAGTTTAATTTCCTTCAATCATGATGATGATTTGGAAGAAAGCGTATAAAAAAAGTCGAGAAAGGTGGCCAAATCTATGAAAATTGTACTGGATTAAAAAAAGCTTTCGTCGCCCCTCCGATTCGTCGGTAATGGACTCGCCCACTCACCTAGAGTAACTAGTCCATGATACAACCATAACGTTACTATATTAATAATAAATATGGGTAGGATGAAATGTTTTACTCATATGATGATGATTTGAAAGAAAACGTATAAATAAAAACCTCTAGAAAGGTGCACAAATACGTGAAGATTCTCCTGGATTAGAAAAAAGTTTTCGTCGCCCCTCCGATTTGTCTGTAATGGACTCGTCCACTCCCCAAGAGTAACTCGTCCATAACGTTACTACTACTCATTTCGCAAATATGAAGAATGAATACGAGTGCGACAAAATGTTTAATTATATGAAGATGATCACGAAGAAAAAGTATAAAAAAAACCTCGAGAAAGGTGCCCAAATTCGTGGATTAAAGAAAAAGCTTTCCTCGCCCCTCCGATGTGTCGGTAATGGACTCGCCCACTCCCCGGGACAGAAATATGACACCGGAAAGGCGGTGATCCCACAACAGACTGAAGGGTTTGAACTTGACTCTGGGATGTTTGGGGTTTGTTTAAAGGGGCTCCCGCAGCCAACCTTTCCTGCACCGCAGGGCATCCTGAACCAACAAGCAAGGCGAGATGTAGTGATGCACGGGCTACCGGGCTGCTAGTCTTACTGGAACTAGCAATCTTAGCGTGCTAGTTTGAAAACTAGCCATCTTGGTGTGCTGGTTTGAAGGGGAACATGTAGAAGTCCCACATGCACGGGCTGCTAGTCTAACTAGAACTAGCAATCTTAGCGTGCTAGTTTGAGCTGTAGTGATGCACGGGCTACGGGGCTGCTAGTCTTACTGGAACTAGCAATCTTTGCGTGCTAGTTTGAAAACTTAGCGTGCTAGTTTGAACTTGACTCTGGGATGTTTGGGGTTTGTTTAAAGGGGCTCCCGCAGCCAACCTTTCCTGCACCGCAGGGCATCCTGAACCAACAAGCAAGGCGAGCTGTAGTGATGCACGGGCTACCGTGCTGCTAGTCTTACTAGAACTAGCAATCTTAGTGTGCTAGTTTGAAAACTAGCCATCTTGGTGTGCTAGTTTGAAGGGGAACATGTAGAAGTCCAACATGCACGGGCTGCTAGTCTGACTAGAACTAGCAATCTTAGCGTGCTAGTTTGAGCTGTAGTAATGCACGGGGTACCGGGCTGCTAGTCTTACTGGAACTAGCAATCTTAGCGTGCTAGTTTGAAAACTTGGGGTTTGTTTAAAGGGGCTCCCGCAGCCAACCTTTCCTGCACCTCAGGGCATCCTGAACCAACAAGCAAGGCGGGCTATAGTGATGCACGGGCTACCGGGCTGCTAGTCTAACTAGAACTAGCAATCTTAGCGTGCTAGTTTGAGCTGTAGTGATGCACGGGCTACCGGGCTGCTAGCCCTACTAGAACTAGCAATCTTAGCGTGCTAGTTTGAAAGCTAGCGATGTTAGGGGTTAGAAGTCCCATGTGCACGAGGTACCTGGCTGCTAGTCTAACTAGAACTAACGACCTTAGCGTGCTAGTTTGAAAACTAGCGGTGTTTAGGCGAGCTGTAGTGATGCACGAGGTACCGGGCTGCTAGTCTTACTGGAACTAGCAATCTTAGCGTGCTAGTTTGAAAACTAGCGATGTTAGGGGTAAAATCACGGGCTACAGGGCTGCTAGCCCTACTAGAACTAGCAATCTTAGCGTGCTAGTTTGAAAACTAGCGATGTTACAACTTTGTAGAAGCCCCACATGCACGGGGTACCGGGCTGCTAGTCCTACTAAAATTAGCAATCTTAGCGTGCTAGTTTGAAAACTAGCGATGTTCCACATCCACTAGAGGTTCCACATCCAGACTTTTCTGCACTTCGGGAGAACCTATAATGATGCTAGTCTCCCTGGTCTACGGGCATAGACCTAGCAATGCTAAGGTTGGGCCGATAAAACCTAGCCTTGCTAAAACCTAGGACAGACCAGACTACCTACTAGTATGCTAAGCTTTTTGCTAAGTCTTGCGAGAAAACTAGCGCTCGATGCTAGGCGCTTGCTAGGTCAAACATGGAACCACTTCTAGCAATAATGCTAAACGAAGTGAGGCGCGCCAATGTCATAACTAACATTGCTACTTTTTAACAGGAAACTAGCAATGCTAGGCGATCTGAGGGCCAAATCGTGCTAGGTTGGGGGAGGGGGGCAGAAGTAATTTTCAGATTTTAGGATAGTCCTAAGCTTGGTGACTGATCTTTCTCTGTCAGAATTCCTTCTGTCCGAAAGGCATACACAAGTCACTGCGGGAACGGATCTCTGTATTTATTCTGTCCCTAAGACTCCAGTATTCCGTGTCCAGCGATTCAAGATCCTGTTTTCGAGACGCTCCTCTGTTTTCACTCAGGACGGCACGAGGCGCCACCGGGAAATAAGAAAAGACGCCCAAAATCTTCGGCATGCCATAACTATATTACTCACAATTAGAGTCAACATTCCGGACAAAGCCTAAATATACCTGTCACTCGTTCTGACAGCACAAGGAGCGATATCCGAACATGTACAAAAGCTGTGTGGAAGGCTGTTGTTTCAAAATGTAGCGAAAGGACGCCCGCTGACAACTTTTCTTCCAAGTCCTCTACAACATTTCCTACCTACCGCAGACTGTATTAGCTTTCTTAATGCCTGTACCAAGAAGGTACAGTGTGTCTTTAAGGACGTTTGTGGTACCTGGAGGTTGGGTGGGAGTAGCCTCCGTAGCAGGCTTATAGAACTGGGGGTTTGGTGGTACGTCTTCGGCTGTTTTCTGATGAGCCTAGTTCTAAAAACGGGGGTAATTCAACCAGGCCGGCTATGTTGTCTATATGCAATCAGAAAATAGCAGATAAAAGCTCCTGAAGACCCCCAAAACCCCAAGTTTTTGGCATGCTGTGGAGGTTGGGTGGGAGGGGGGTGGCGTGTGACTGGAGGAAGGGCGTGTTCGGGTAGGCTTCCCTACCGTCACGCTACCGGCATTACC